TCTATCTATCTATCTATCTATCTATCTATCTATCTATCTATCTATCTATCTATCTATCTATCTATCTATCTATCATTGATTAGTGTGAGTTGATCCTTGTCTTGCTCCTCTTGTTAAACACTTTCTGGAGAAACTACATGGAGGGAAAGGAAGGGGCAAGGAGCATTCAAACACACCATGCTACATATAGCACCTTGGAGAGGTGCTAGACACATTGGATAACATGACCAAGATCTGTGAGGTTTTAATGGGGTTGTTAATTGATACCGAGATGGTCCAGATAGGGCTTTTATTGTGCAATTAGGATGACAACACATTTTAGCTATTAAGGCGAGAAATTCTTTTATGTTTTCCTCTTTTGTGTTACCAGTGCAATACATTTACATAACAGCTGCCATCTTTGTTTTGTAGCTCGAGGACTGTATTGGTAGAGTGCTTTTTTAATGAACAACGGGCTTTACGGTGGGCTCTCATTCACCCATTCACACTCACACACCAATGGCAGTTGAGCTGCCAAGCAAGGACGCACTACAAGATTTTGGAACAAACGGCGTATCACACTCTTCAGGGTATTATTGAGATTATCATGCTAAAGGAAGCAATCGGGGTGCAGAGCGCCACCTGCATGTGAGATCCGTTTAAAATCTGTAGCTAACATTAGGATCAAGGGTTGGAATGCTTTGCATCGGCTGGCCATCGTACCCATCCCAATTTTAACTCATGAATATCAAACATGTCTGGTGTTATCACTGTGGCCCCAATGAATCTGAAATAGTTCAGGAGGTTTATGAATAGATCTGCAAACCCCTTACCTTACCAAGTAATTTGGACTCAACATAGGTTCAGATCAAGATCCCAGACCAGATTCTTTTTCAAACTGCTGGGAGCAGTCGCAATTATGGACACCAAGAATGAAAGAAGATACTATAAACTAAAGGATTAGTGGATGATCTGCTTTACCTCCTGAGCCACATCCCCACCATGAGCATTTTTTTTCTTCTGACTGTTTCCAAAGTAGAAGAATGAACTTTGTGCCTCAGCTTTTAAGCCAACATGGACAAGAAGTCCTTAAAGTGCTTTGGTAAAATTTATATTTGATCATCTACAATTCTGTGACAACTGAGCAACTTTAGCTGCTGAGCAGGATTATGGGAAGCAGCTAAATGGATTTTTGAAAGATGTGAACTAGAACACACAGTTATCGTTAAATTTTTACCTTTATGAAGACGTGCTCCCCGTTGAAACATTAGGTGCTGCACTTTATTAAAAAAGCTCTCACTGTGTCTGTGCGTTCGAGATCTCATTCAACTCAGCTGTCCTATCTGCGTAGGCAACAATTTTATCTTCCAGGTGGCTGACATGGTGCTAATAAGATCTGGTGGTGACTTTGTTTTCTCATATGTAAGTTGCTCTAAGCTGCAGCAACATCGTTACGCAAGGTTTTACAACTGTCAGAAGAGGACATCGATTGGAAAGAAATCCAACAATGCTAGTTTTGATTCAATCGGTAAAAGTCATCCTTGGTATGAGATGCTTCCTTGGTTCCTAAAACAACTTTTGGAACTTTACAGGCAATGTAGTTTACCAGTAAATCTAATTACATTTCTACCCTCTCTAGTCCTATACTCCTCACCTTTCTGTGGGCTTTTATTTCTACTAAATTTAATTTGTGAGGCCTTGACACTAAAGCTGCATTGGAACATTGGCCAGCTAATCATAGTAAATTTCTTTAATAAAGGCATATCTAATGACAAAACCATCACTGGGTGTTGATTGCTGTCAGCGATAGTGACAGAGACACTGGTAATATATCCCCTTTGCCACCAGTAATGAGATTTATACACTGAATGTATATGGCTGCCATGCAAATATCGTGACATATCTGTTTCCTTATAGATGTATGATTTTCATACATATGGCATTTTTGGTAGGTGTGTGGGTCGGGGAGGGGCGTGTTAATAATGAAATAAAATAAATTAGGAATCCTCATAATAAAGAAAAGGGGGGAAAACAAAAAAAAAAAAAAAAAGGAAGAAGAGAGAATGGATGGGGAGACACTATGGAAGAGGCTTTCATTCACTGTTTTTATCTCGTTCCATGTTATTATATTCGCTCAATCAAAACCTCTCTTATGCATACATCTATATGAACTGCCTCTCTCTCCCTCTCTCTCTTGCTCATTCGCAATTATGAGGGAAAGACAAAGAAAAGCGATTCATCTTTCTGTCGCGGCCCCTTAATGATATCATTAAAATGACTGACAGCTTTGAATAGCATTGAAAACCTACCCCAGTCAAAACAAATCTGATCCGTTTTGGAAACAAAGTCTGGTGGTTCGTTAGGGGAGGGGTGCAACGAGAGCGTGTGCACATGTGTAAAACGGGGTGAGGTTAGCACAGGGGGGGTGGGGGGTGGGGGGAGTTGTTAATGAGGGATACCTTAGGGGGTAACACTGGGGGTATGGAGAGTACTGCTGCAGGCAGGTGCCCCCACAAACACCCTCTCCCTCTTTTTTTTCTCACTCCATCCTACACCCAATCCCATCTGTGCCACATTCATTTTCATTGCCTTAATGAACATAATAAATATATCTCCTCTCTATTGATGAATGCTATTTGACAGCCATGGGGGTGGCAAGCAGGAGAGGATGGGCACTTGATTGGAGTGTAATCATTGTTAAAGGCCCAGCATGAATAACGTATTCAGACTGAAGAAGACACGCACACACACACTCCGCGCACGCATGCATGCATGTACGCACAGGTGGCCAGGCCCACGGGGTGTTTCATTCGCAACTTGGCACTCCTGCTGTTATTATCATCATCAGCTTTGTTCGGGCTAGATTGTGTGTGAAAGAGCAAAACATGGTGGGCAATGCTTTTGTTGGATGTGCATGCTAAACTTTGATCAGCTGGTGAAAGCGCACAAATGTATGTGATTAAATGTATGGTCACACACGTTCAAACTCACACACACGCACACACACGTAGATGACTCACGTTTTCCCGTCTTGCCGGATGCCCTGGTCTCGGATCTGGGCCTGCAAACAATTAGAAAATGAAAAACAAACCTGTTTGTGATCGACTCTCTTTTGTCTCTCCCCATTTGTAGTTCATCGCTTTTCCACTCTGCACTTGTTCACCTTGAAGCGTTCTATGTCCCTCTCCTTCTCATCCGCCGCGTCTTTCAGTCTCTTTACCTCTGCCTTCAATGTGTCATTAGCCTCCTGAAGATGTCTGACAAAGGGAGGGAGACGCAGAGGCAGAGTTAAACAGAGGAATATACATAGAGAGGCAGACGCAGAGAACGACAGACACCTATTATCATCAAGAGACTCTTGTTAACATGGCAGACAGAATATTCGGCCACAAAACAGCTATGCTGCCTGCGCTTCTCTCTTTCCAGAGCAGCTCTTTAACTAGCAGTCGAGACATTATCTCTGACACACAAACACACACACATGCAGTATCATATCCTGTTAGAATGAAATGCTTTTTGCACAGCCATTTATCACCTACCCTTGTGGCTATTTATTTCAGTATTTCGATATGCCGCAAATTCTCAGACTCCAAAATTCTCAAATAGTTTTATTTATGGGAGAGGAAGTAGACGTTTCCCCGTCTATGGAATTTCGAGGGCAGGTGCTGAGTATGAAGAGGAACCATTCATTGAGATAATTTCACCCAGCCAGCGTGCACCAGTGTATGAAGTCTGTTACCTTTGCTGCTACAACAAAAAAATGTAAAATCATATCACATACACACACAGAGTATGTTGAGATGGAGGAAGAAGCAGACACACAGACGGTTATGGTGCTGCTGTGTGGGGATGAGGGACGTATGGCACTGTAGGGGGGTGGGATAACAGAAGATGGCTAGACTGCTTTGATCTCTGGTAAGAGGAAAATGTCACGCCCATGTCTGTGTGTATACGTGTGTGTGTGTGTGTGTGTGTGTGTGTGTGTGTGTGTGAGTCACGATGATGCAGACATGCAGAAAGACTGTCAGGTGCTCGTATGTCAGCGAGTCCACCTGAATCACTCCAACACATGTGCACATACATAATCACCATGAGTGCCTTCTCTCCTTTTCTTACATATTTAGTTGGATTTCTTAGAAAAATGATGTACAGGGTCGAGGCATATACGTTCACAGGGGCTGACTCACTAACACAAACAAATTCTGTTTGAAAAAAAAAAAAAGCTTCATCCTGCCAGATACACTTACTCTTTCTCTTCGGTGACGATGAGCAGCACCTTGTTTTGGGCCTTCATCTGGGCAGTGAGGCTCTCATTGGAGGCCCTGAAAGGGGAACACAAATTTCTGAAATCTAATGAAACACAAAGTAAGACAGTAATGAAGAACAGCTTTTGGTTGTTCCCTGCTGTGGTTTGCAAGAAGAAAAAAAAACAACATTTAAAGAAAAACAGACATTAAAATGAAGCACACTATTTGCGTCTTTAACATCTGTGTATTTATATCTATTTGTAATGACCTGGTGATTCTTGGATTTATTTTGTATCTATTGATCCCATAGAGGAGCAACACACCTTACATATAGATACACCAACCATAAAACTTGCTTTCTTTTTAATTATAAGTAAATTAATGAATAAAACAAACAAAAAAAAACATCATGTTGGTCACAGAATCTTACTTTTGTTCAGTGATCCAAAGGTTGACATTAGTCATGACCAGCTGGCTCTCATGGCGAAGGTTTAGATTATCAGACCGTGTCCCTTCCAGATCTGACCGGAGTGCGTTCACCTGCAATAAATAATCAACTATTATCCAAATAGTAAATGATGAGCGCTGATTTTGCAGGTTTCCTCTCTAATTAGACAATTCCTTATTGTAAATATAACACCATTTCCCCTGTTTACTGCCTGGATTCGTGAAGTACAACAACTGACCCACAAAAGAACAATGTTCACTCCATCTGACACAGGAAGGAAAATATTAACATCAGACACTTCCTTTACACATTTATATGGATTTCAAGTCTCTCCCTCACTCTCTCTCTCTCTCTCACACACACACACACGGAGCGAGAGAGAGACACACATGTTCAGTGTAAATGGGTGGAGGGGGCCAAAGGTGTGATTAAAGAAAAGTGAAAAAAAAAAAAAGTACGGATGATGCTCTAATAGAGGGGAAGCGAAGAAAGGGTGAAAATAAATGTCAAAAATAGAACATAATAGCAACACAAGAGGGAAAAAAATTAGGTAAATGGAGAATAATGGGGGATGAAAGAGATGGCATTTGCAGACACAGGTATAAATAGCAAGGTGAGGTATTAAGCAGGAAGGAGGAAAGATGGAGGATGGGGGGAGAGCAGAAGCAGACGGAAGACAAGATTGGAGAAAGGAAAAGCTGGGTGTGGGGTGAAAACAGGGACTGGATGGCACTGACCAAACTGCTGACTTTTTCATTCTGCTTATCAGTCAGGACCTTTCCAGGCCTAAACTCTGGGGACCCTGACATATTACCCTTATCGCCATAGAAACACCTTGATATGCCATACCATCTTCCCACAAAGACTTCGGCAAACAGAAAAAGTTTCCAATATGTGGGCCACGATTTAAGTATATAAAAATGTCAAATGATTAACCTAAAATGTCAAAATATCAACTGCTGGTGTGAGATGAATCATGTACGGTGTGCATGTGCGTGCATGTCCGGATGTGTATTTTGAATATCGTATGTATAGCAAAAATATTTTCTTGCTGATGTGTATCTAGGAAACACCACAGAGTTAAATGTAACTGAGATAATACAATTCTGTTGATGCAGAGCTGAATAAAAATACATAAATACAAGTGACAAAAAAATGTGTTTTTAATATCACATGGCTTTAGGGGAACATACAAGCACAGGGGATGAGCAAATCAAGTTTAAAAAGATGAATTATCTATAGTGTTCATAAAGTCTGGTAAGTCAGCATCTGTTTGCTGAATTTGGTGACTGACCAGTGTGTCATAAATCTAATGCTAAAGGCCCACACCCAAATGGGCTACAGGACATGTGCATGTCCTCTGTGATAAAGGTCAAACAATAAGTTTTTAGTTGTCTGAGGTCAAACGTTTTAAAGGTTTTTTAGAATATTTTTCAGTCATTTATACTAAATAATCCACACTTTTCTAGTGGTTAGACCATTCTACAAGGCACTTTGCAATGTGTTTGTCATTCCCCTATTCATGCAGACACTCACAATCCAATGGTGGGAGAACTGCCATGCATGCGAGGTGTTGCCCACCATCAGGACCAACTTGAGGTTCAGTGTCTTGCCAAAGGACACTTGCAGGGGGCCGGGGATTGAACCTTTACGATTAATGCACAACAAGCCACGGCCATCCCTGAACCACATCAGCTCTGGGCTACAGAATGGGCAGCCACTTTGAAAGCTGGTACATTTTTCTACATACATTTTCGGAGAAATATGTACAACAGCCGACACACATCAGGTTTTGTTCTTCTGTAGCAAAACGGGAGGTGAAAATCTCTTGCAGCACTACATGGTTTAAGAATTGGCACAACATGAAAAATACTGCTAAATGAACCAATTTTATACAAGTATGCTAGTGTCTGGTACCATGGGCATTGGTTTCATTTAAATATTGGTGTAACACATTATGCAGGGGGTCCAGGAGTCCTCCCCCAGGAAATTTAGAGCGTCAAACACTTCATTTCCTGCATTCTGGTGAATTTTTATGCACCAATTTGTGCCTTTTCTGCATCAATTTATGGTGAAAATGTCTTTATTCATGTAAAATTCAGGTGCCAGATGACAAATTTAAAACACACTTGTTCTAAATATTGAAGGGGACTATTCCCTGTGCCCTTCCTAAAAATCTACCTGATGCATATACTGACCTCATTGGCAGATATGTGACTTGAGAATCGAAACAGTTTCCAGAATGATGTAAAACAACGTTTCTGAAGTTCGAGTAAGGAGTGATCCGTCGACGTAAATGAAAAGGAGAATGAATAGGTGAAAGGAAGTTGTGAAGATGGCACATAATCAATAATTCAAAAACATGATGAGGAATTACACTTTTAATCACATTTGGATTAAGGGAAAGGCTGGATTTCAACAAAGAAGCAATGAAGAGAGAATGTGGGAACGCTGAAATTACATCAAGCAAATCATTCAAAAGAATAAACTGAGTCATGGCATCAATTGTAATTGCATTTATCAACAATGGAATAAATATTGTGGATCCCCTGTTGTTTGTGATTTTATTTCTGGTTTGTCTCATGCAATGACACCTCTTCATGGGAAGGAAGTTCTGTTGAGAACCTAATGGCCAAAACCGCGTATTAATAAGCCGATATTAATTATATACACAAGAATATCAAACCGTAACATTCAAAAGCTCAAAAAACACACACGACACCTCCACACGGACAAGCGCACACACACACACACACACACGCACACTGGCAGAATCTGTGGCATGCTGTAATGACAGTAATTACCTGTGGTCTCACATTAACATCTCCCTCCTGACTGTCTGACTGGCTCGGCTGGTGGAGGGATGTAAATCGCAGCACAAGTCTGATGTTGTGATTAGGACTAAATTACACATCATCACTCTGTTTCCACCAGTGTCAAGGGAGGCAGCGAAAGGGTGTGTGAGAAAGAGGGTGGAGGGGGGGAGAGAGTGTGCGAGAGAGAGGGAGGGACATTTAGAGAAAAAGGGAAAAGGACAAGAAGGTGCGATTGCAAGAGGGGGGAGGAGTAAAGTAGCACACCTGCTTAACATTTAGATTGGTTTTGTTGCACAAATATTTTAGTAGATGATGGGGGCTAAAAGGGGCAACAAAATGCATTTATAACCAAGTTTGGTGATACCACTTGTCCTCTCAGGTGTATGCTACAGAATATGAGTCGACTACTGTGGTGATGGTGAACGATTTGGAATCTTTACAGCTGCTGCACCAGTATTTATCATTTTGATTTATTCTATCAAAATAGGGCTGAGTTGTCCAGTCCACAGCCCGCACTCTTCATTGCCAATAGATACAAGATGGACTTTCTGGATTCACTATTTTTTTTTTCTGAACTTATACATCTGAATGAACTCTCATGACAAACCATAAAGCGTACCTGCAGACAGAAGAGAAAAAGAAAATGATAGTGGGGACTTTTGCAGTTAATGGATTTTCCATCTTTTCTATTCTCCGCGGAGCCGCGGACTGGTATCACATTGCACATTAGCTGTACAGGACAAAAGTGCATTTTCATTAAAACAGACCAAACTGTCCAAGGTCGCGGCATAAACATAATTCAAAGCTGACTTTTCTGGGTAAAGAGAGGAACATGAAAACGAGTATAAAATCAGAAACAGATAGCCTAGTTGTTGCTTCTACCACCATCAAACCGCCAGAGCTGAATACGAGCCATTACTCTGTTCCACTCAGCTCATCAGAGCACATCCTCTCATCAAATTAATGAACACATTTATTGTTAAACACGTTTTTATAAAACATTCATTCATTCTGTCTAATTAAAAGACCCAACAGGCCTGACATCACTTAAATATGCATACTTATCCCTCACATGGTCTGAATTAAAGATCTACAAGCATGTGTGCGTCGGTGTGTGCGTGTACTGTATGCGTGCATGTGCATGTATGATGGCAAAAAGAGAATGAGGCTTCCTAAGCAGGCCTTCTCACTCTGGGCTTAATGGTGGTAATCATGGCGTGACCCAACATTAAGACAGTGTGTGCGTGTGTTTATGTGTGTCTCACTCTCCCTAATGGTGACGATGATGACATGGTCTCCATTAGACTAGTCAGTGGGCCACAGCAGATCTAGCATATTAATGATGCTGATGATGGCTTCTTTAATTACCTTCGTCTGCTGCTGCTGCATGGCCTGACTCCTTTTCCTCCTTTTCCTCTCATCACACACTCTCCTACGCATGCTGCTGGGTTGTTTATCAGTGGCTGCCATTACTGAAATCCCCTATCTTGCATCTAGCCTGCATGAGCACAGCTACATTACCAGCCTTGACAGAAGTTTCTCGAACACTTGATGGCCAGATGGACTCCTCCCCCCCATCTACAGTAGCAGACATGCTTTTAATCTATACAGCAAACTGTAAAAAATAAGTATGAAACATTCTGTTAATACATCATCTCTAGTATAGTATCAAACAACATCCAATCGTAGCAATAACCATTTCATCCTTTTATCCCACAGATTCTGCATAAAGTAAGGTTACCTAGTTCTTGAGGGTAAAGTAGTGCAGAAGGATTACTGAAGAAAAGATGCAAATAGTGTAGTGCAGCTTCTACGAGTGCAGTATTTGTTGGAAATTTCAAACAATAGAAGAGTATAAATGTGTTTTGCATTTGAGGGATTCCCATTCGGCACGCCGGCTGATGTTTAGTTGTCCAGGTGGACAGCAGCGACACAAAAGAACAATTTTAGGACTGAATTACAGCTGGATTGTTTAGTGATGAGCTGATGCAGCAAGAGTTTGGGGGGGAAGAAAAAAAAAAAAAGACACTGCCAAGCTTGTTTTAAATAACAGTAACACAGAACACTGCTTTTCCAAAATTGTTTCAGCAAGCTAATGTTTTGGAAAATGAAGGAATATGTAGAGGTGCGAGGAGTTTATATATAATTGATTATTTTTTTCTCCTATGTGGTGGATTTGTAGGGAACACGCAGACAAAATAAATAAATAAAAATGTGCCAAGGCCAATCTCCTTTCAGAGGCTCTCAGTTCAGCGGGGCGGCCGAAAACTCAGTAA